GGGGGGGAACACAGGGCGGGCTCAATCCCCAGTTACATTTGAGTCGCCGAGAGGCTAAACTGTGACGCGTTTTCGAAGAGAAAGTCCATATTGAAGCGATATAGTTTTAAGGTTATTTAATAAACAAAATCAAAACATAGTAACTATGGACAAAACGGTCAACAGAAAAAATGACAGCTCAAGCTGTCATCCCACTCGACATGAAACAGGTGACTTAAATAGACAAAACCACACCCATGTGACAATTACCGGAAGTGCTCAACAAACAAATAAAAGTAAACAAATAATAATAATACAAATAATGAACTTGGGCTAAGTAGCATTATGGCACCTACACAGGGATTTTAGCCTTTGCAGACCGGGTCAAACTCAAGGCCCGGGGGCCAAATCCGGCCCGCGACTTCATTTAATGCGGCCCCACAAGAGCTTGCAAAGAATATAATATGTTTGTTATACGGTTACATGGCGATTTACAGAAGCACGTTGCCCATAAACTACATGTCCCACAATGCATCTCAAATTTGACTTTTTTCTCAGATTTGAATTTTTTTCTTCAAAATGTCTTTTAAAATCATTTTGTGACATTCTCACTGAAGAGACTTGCAATTATTTGCCCTAGACTTCTGCTTTCAGACTGAGTTAAATATGAAGTTATTACCCTATCCGATAATAATCCAATGCAGAGGCAATAATGTCATACATTAGTTTATATATATTAAATATTTATATAGTCTTAAAGTTACAACCGGCCCTTTGAGTGCAACCATAATGCCAATGTGGCCCGTGATGAAATTGAGTTTGACACACCTGATTTACATGCACTAAAACCTATATGACACACCACAGGAGAGAGCATAAAGGGCCTCTTTAACCCAATGTTTATCACTGACTTTAGGGAAAGGCGGTTATGAAAAGCAATAGAAACCTGATCCGTTTGATAGCAGCTCTCGTACAAAAAGCTATGTTATTGAGAATAATAAAAAGCTTGTTATTGCCAACGAAAGATATTCTTGAAATATCTCAGAGTAGGTTTCCAAGGTCTCTGTTTAGCTTCGTGCTTAGCCAGATGGGATTGTGCATTAAGCGTGACTAAGAGCTAGGATTAAAGCAGAGCGGAGAGGATGAGAGAGACGCTCACTCACCTCCTGAATGGCCGTCATCACGACGTGTTGGACGGATTCCTCCAGACGCATGATCTGCTGGATTTGTTCTGTGTTTACGAGAAGACAACGGAGAGACGTGAGGGTGCAGCCAAATGCAGATTAACACTCCTAAAAACAACAAACAGGCACTGTAGCTATTGGTATGATTGATCTGTACTCTCATTTGTAACAGTATTTAGTGTGGGGAAGGAGCGTGCGATCGGGTTAAAATCTTGTGATGCTCAGACGTTGAATGATAAAGCGAGAACCATGTGACTTTGAGCTAATCCTGAGTGTGATTTCCAGATGGCTGCACCTGCTTTCTTTCTCCATCACAGCCTTTACCTTCTTTCTTCTCGCAGCTCACAGCGCAGCCCAGCACGAGCTGCACCAGCTTCCCCAGCTCCGTGACGTCGCCCAACTCCCCGATCAGGGTCACGTCCGGCATGTGCACCTCAGACACCTGGTGACCGAGCACCTGGTCAGCGAGAGGAGGAGGGGACGTTAGGGTTGAGAGGCTTCAAACATGGACTAAAATGTGCTGTTCTATGGAAAAGATAACATGTATTCTGAAAAGGAAAACCTTTGATAGGGTTTAGGGCCCGTTTACTCAACTGTTAATGTGTCACATGCTAAGAAATAACAATGGGAATCCATAAGAGCGATAGAAGACATTAGGGCTGAGTGGATTCAAAAAATGGACTAAAAGTGCCAATTAGTCAAAGTAATCAGGGATGCATCGATTGCAAATTTCTCAGTGGATGCTGATATTTTCTGTTCATTTTTAAGGTTAAGGTTCAGTTTCTTTGCCTCGGACACACGACTTCTCAGGGAAAATGTAGTTTTGCTCTGATGCCACTCTGAACACTCAATCTGCAAAGTTTTGAACATTCAGAATTGCTATTTTTAGGCAATAGCATAGGTCTCAGATATATAAAAATATAGTGTTTTGCTCAAAATACCAAACAGGTCACCCATTCTAGCCATGCCTCATATCCCTCTATTTCACTTCCTGTTTCAAATGTGCTGATTTTGGGAATAAAGCTTTAAAAAAATTAAAATTGATAGAAAATAAAAAAGGAGGGGTCTGAGCTCATGCGGGACCCGGCAGCTACTGTCTAAACTAAATACTGCCGTGATGAAACGCCATATCATGGATTATCAAGGATTATCTCTGAAACAGTACGGAGCTCAAAGGCTTTCTCTCTTGCCGGTTATACCACAAGGTGAGTTCCTTTTTACTTCCTGCTTCTTCACACACATGCTCTCCAGTACAGGTTAGCTTTGAGTGTTAGCGATGCTAATGTAAACACCGACCATATCCCGTCCAAAACAGTCGGGCATTGTTTCTGATAGCAGCTTTCTGATAGGGCCGTGGGTCCACATTTCAGATATTACGTCATATCGGACATAAATCTGGATCAGCTCCGTTGTTCCCCCGTTTTTAGAGATTTGGGTACGGAGGCAAAAGAGAGAGGGTTTTATTTTCTGACGCTGCGTGAGTTCCCTGACGCACCGGGGACACATATTGATGTATAGAAGACATCAAAAAGTGCATTTTGCATGATAGGAGACCTTTAAAGTAACAGTAGATTACATCAGTCATCGTTCTAATCCTTTAAAATGACAGACAAACATCAGATGTTGTCCTTCATCAAATGACGGCTACCGCGACCTCTGAAACTCCACTGACTACAGACAGAGTTCAGCAAAAACAGATCAACATCGGCTACGGCCATCGGCGCTTTGCCAGTGTGCCAATCAGAAAGAAATAGGGCTAACATCAGCAGAACATCGGTGCAACCGTAAAATTAGTACCATCTCCTTACATCGTGATAATACTCCATCATGCTCTTGAGAATCTTCTTCAAGTTGCTGACCTGAAAGCACAAAGCACATCAGAATTAAAACAATCCTGATCCTCATTTAAATAATTCAGAGGAAAAGCCCGGACGTCTTGTAGTTTCTCCGCCGGCTGTCCTGTCATATCGACTGTCTCACAGATTACCTTCAGGCGCCAGTTGGCCCCGCTCTCCTCCTTGATCCTGCCGAGCCACGTCTCATTGAACCAGGAGGGGTCTCTGTTAATGAGAGCACAAGAGAGAGGAGTTCAGCGACGACAAGGACGACACGTCTCAGACTCTGCTGAGCACGGGGACATTTAGAGAGCAAGACACTCGTGGGAATAAACGCTCTGTTGTTAAATAACTCAAACAGCAGCAGAGCAGTGGGTGCAGAGCTAAAAGGGACAGTTGACCGCAAAATAATAAATATCCTTTCACTTACTATTACCTCATTCACACCAATGCAACTCCGGTTCAAGATCCGTGCTAGAGCTTTTCAGGTTCAGAACCGGTTCAGCTCTTTTCACACCGCCCAGAGTCCGACTGGTGCTGCGTCATTGCGTCATCGTTTGCGTCATAACGTAACCGTTTGCGTGCCTGCTTCATAAAGCAAAACCGCGCGGAAACCCCTCACAGCTGACACCGACGACAACAACAACAACAATGGCCGATTGTGCTCCAGCTTCCTCTGTACCTCTTCAGAAGACCAGATTCCCAGTAGGTAGCTGGTCTCTTCAGTGGACCACTGCTGCTTGTTAAGTTTCTCCATCGTTGTGTACAAACTGGATACAACGCGGGCTTTTTGTTGTTGTTCAGGAGTTGATCCCGCCCCTGCCCCGCCTCGACGTAAGCGTGACGTATGTGGTGCTTTTGCTCTAGCCGGAAACATTTTTGGAGCTTGAAATGAACCGGATTCCGGAGCTAAGAGGCTGCTCCGCTGCGGTGTGAACAGGAAAACCTGGTGCTTTTCAAGCTCCAGCTCCGAACCGGCCCTGAAACACCGTTGGTGTGAAAGAGGTAGGAGTTACCTCAGGGCAGCACAATGCATCACTTACTTGTACAATGTATTTTGGGTTTATTATTTTCTATGTATTTGTATGTTTAGAAACGGCTGTTCAGTTCACTTGCTCTGTGTATTTGTATGTGAAAGTACTTCGAAAAGCGCTATATAAATAAAAGTGTGTTATTACTACATGTAGTGCCACATAATTCATCTGGATTGTTTTGGTGTGAGTTGCAGATTGTTGGAAATATCCAGAGTTCGATTTTTGCGTCACGATTCTTAGAAAAAATAACAAAATTGCAATTATTTTGATTTGCAATATTAGAGGGAATTATTCCAGTATTCCCATAATAGTTAACATAAAAGTGTATTAAAATGATAAGTGTGATTTTTGAAGAAGATCTGTAGCAAACAAGGACTTTCTTTGTCTGTAGAATAATCTCAGCAGCTCCAAAATACTTTTACAAATACATTTATGGCACTTTTCCACTGCAGGGCCTCGCTCGGCTTAGTACGGTATAGTTAGGCCAGGCTCACTTTATGCTGCGTTTCCATTACAGTTTAGGAACTGGGGCAGTAACTATAGTAACGCAGTGTAGGCGGAGCCGTGACGTCATCTTCAATGAGAAACACAAAACCAACATCAGCCGTTAGCTGTTAGCGTTCAAGCTCACAGCTCCTCATATCTGTTCAGAAACTAGACAAAAGTTAAACAAGTACAAACCACAGACTGTCTGTGTCATGGTGAATACAGAAGGGGTGTAACGGTTCACAGAAGTCACGGTTCGGTTCGTACCTCGGTTTGGGGGTCACGGTTCGGTACGGGTTCGGTACAACAAGAAAAAGCAAAAAAAAGTCCCAAATGCATAATTCCAGGTTTGTTGTTATTTATGTTTGAACAGTAGTGTGCAAGTTTCAGTTTAAAAATAAGGAACTCTGACATTTTGAATAATGAACTGTATTAAACAGTTAAAAACAAACCACACTCAGATGGCCATATTATCTATAATGGCTGATGTCAAACAAAAAGGTTTCATCAAGCTGTAAAACTAAAAAGAATGTCTTGAAAATATTACATCATAAATAATAAGAAAATGTTTCAAGAGCGCAAAGTCGTTGAAAAACATATGCCAAAAGCTTCCGTTATTTATTTTGGCCTCTCGGCTCTCATGTCTCTTGGCTTCTTAAAAACAGCGGGGATCAGCTGTTGAACTGCTGCTGTCTTTTGCCGGGCTCCGGTGATTGGCAAATCTGGGTGATGCCTTCTGATATGATTTAGCATGTTTGGCGTGTGTTCCCATTAGCATACCGCACCGCTATCGAACAACGCCGACATACCGTCCTCGTCCAATCCACCACTCGTCCGATCCACCACTCACACTTCATCGTTATTGCAGTCCACAGGGAACCCGAAATGTTCCCACACAGCTGATTTAAAAGAAGCAGGTGGGTTCTAGCTCCTGTGTGTTATCTGAAATCGCCATACTAACTTTTCTTCTTCTTGTATTTTGTTCGTTTTGTTGTTGCGTTTCTTCTTGTTCTTCATTTGTTGTTTAAGGGCGGTTGACAAACAGCTTTTAGGCACAATACCGCTCCCTGGATTATATAGAGTGTAGTGGATACTGCCCTGAATGACAGACTTTTTTCCCACCCGTAAAAAAAAGGCGTATTCGTCGTGTGACTGCATGTGCCGAACCGTGACGTACGGGACGAATACGGATACCGTTACACCCCTAGAATACAGTCGCTGCTTTATTTATGTCTGTATAGGCCGTTGTTGTGAGTGTGGACGGTCGGAGCATATATAACTTTAGCTTAGCCAATCTCCATTCAGAAAGCACGCATTTTAAAAAGGGTTTTTCGCCTGCCGTCTGTCTGCAGACTTGTCAAAGCATTAATTCATGGTTTTTACTAACCGGTATCAGTATGTTGTTACTTCGGCATCATTTAGAAACGTGTATTACAATTAAATCACGGTCAAATATGTTCATCTTGTTGTAGTTGTAGCCCCCTTGCCAGCGATTCTCTCTGACCATTCAGCAGTCGAGAGTATTTACGTCACTAGTTTAGCATATTCTGCCCGGTTGTTGGCCCGGGAAGAACCTCGATTTTGGAGGGCCAGAAAAAAAGTGAAAAAGTAGCCCTCACTACCCCTAGTGGAAAACAAATTAAAATAAAACGGGCCGGGTTTGGCACGGCAGCTTGAACCGTGCTATGCGCTGCAGTGGAAATGCGCCATTAGATGTTTTCATATATTTTGCATTAAACAAATATTGCAAAAACAATCCATAATTATAAATAGCACTACAGGCAAGAGGGTAGATTTTTGATTTGGGGATGAACTTAAAAAGGGATAATAAGAATAGATAATTTGCTATGAATCAATGAAAAGTATAGAAAACAATGTTGTTTGTTTATCTGTGTGAGTATAAACACAAATGTCCACCCACAAGATACAAAAGTAATCCGACCTGAACAGATAGTAACCGTCCTGTTTGAAAAAAGAAATCTGACCTCACAAATCCAGACTGCTTTCGTTCCATGGTTTACGCTTTGCATAGATAACGGCCTTGTGCAATTCAAAGGGCAATTTGTCGCGACTCCAACAGATAAGCAAATCTCAGTGAGTAGGCGCTGAAGGACTTCCTAGCAGCCGTTGCCCCAGAGTTCATGATGCCAACTTGAAAACACTAAAGTACAAAACAACTTCTCAAACACAGGTCAGGACTTACATCTGGTGCAGCACGTTGGCAACGGCCACTCCACTCATCAGGTCCTGCTTGCTGCTGCATGATGGGACCTGAAATGTCTGCAACTGAGGACAAACACATGAAGAAGCATTATTTCAAAACATCTCTTTATGAAATGACACTTAAAGTTAACCTATTGTGCAAAATCCACTTCTTCATGTCTCCTCTACATCACCATGTGTCCCCTCTTCTTCATGTCTCTTCTACATCACCATGTGTCGCCTCTTCTTCATGTCTCTTCTACATCAACATGTGTCCCCTCTTCTTCATGTCTCTTCTACATCAACATGTGTCGCCTCTTCTTCATGTCTCTTCTACATCAACATGTGTCCCCTCTTCTTCATGTCTCTTCTACATCAACATGTGTCCCTCTTCTTCTACATACATCAACATGTGTCCCCTCTTCTTCATGTCTCTTCTACATCAACATGTGTCCCCTCTTCTTCATGTCTGTTCTACATCAACATGTGTCCCCTCTTCTTCTACATACATCAACATGTGTCCCCTCTTCTTCATGTCTCTTCTACATCAACATGTGTCCCCTCTTCATCAACATGTGTCCCCTCTTCTTCATGTCTCTTCTACATCAACATGTGTCCCCTCTTCTTCATGTCTCTTCTACATCAACATGTGTCCCCTCTTCTTCATCAACATGTGTCCCCTCTTCTTCATGTCTCTTCTACATCAACATGTGTCCCCTCTTCATCAACATGTGTCCCCTCTTCTTCATGTCTCTTCTACATCAACATGTGTCCCCTCTTCTTCATGTCTCTTCTACATCAACATGTGTCCCCTCTTCTACATCAACATGTGTCCCCTCTTCTTCATGTCTGTTCTACATCAACATGTGTCCCCTCTTCTACATCAACATGTGTCCCCTCTACTTCATGTCTGTTCTACATCAACATGTGTCCCCTCTTCTACATCAACATGTGTCCCCTCTTCTACATCAACATGTGTCCCCTCTACTTCATGTCTGTTCTACATCAACATGTGTCCCCTCTTCTACATCAACATGCGTCCCCTCTTCTTCATGTCTGTTCTACATCAACATGTGTCCCCTCTTCTTCATGTCTCTTCTACATCAACATGCGTCCCCTCTTCTTCATGTCTGTTCTACATCAACATGTGTCCCCTCTTCTTCATCAACATGTGTCCCCTCTTCTTCATGTCTGTTCTACATCAACATGTGTCCCCTCTTCTACATCAACATGTGTCCCCTCTTCTTCATGTCTGTTCTACATCAACATGTGTCCCCTCTTCTACATCAACATGTGTCCCCTCTTCTTCATCAACATGCGTCCCCTCTTCTTCATGTCTGTTCTACATCAACATGTGTCCCCTCTTCTTCATGTCTCTTCTACATCAACATGCGTCCCCTCTTCTTCATGTCTGTTCTACATCAACATGTGTCCCCTCTTCTTCATCAACATGTGTCCCCTCTTCTTCATGTCTGTTCTACATCAACATGTGTCCCCTCTTCTACATCAACATGTGTCCCCTCTTCTTCATGTCTGTTCTACATCAACATGTGTCCCCTCTTCTACATCAACATGTGTCCCCTCTTCTTCATCAACATGCGTCCCCTCTTCTTCATGTCTGTTCTACATCAACATGCGTCCCCTCTTCTTCATGTCTGTTCTACATCAACATGTGTCCCCTCTTCTTCATGTCTCTTCTACATCAACATGTGTCCCCTCTTCTTCATGTCTGTTCTACATCAACATGTGTCCCCTCTTCTACATCAACATGTGTCCCCTCTTCTTCATCAACATGCGTCCCCTCTTCTTCATGTCTGTTCTACATCAACATGTGTCCCCTCTTCTTCATGTCTCTTCTACATCAACATGTGTCCCCTCTACTTCATGTCTGTTCTACATCAACATGTGTCCCCTCTTCTTCATGTCTGTTCTACATCAACATGTGTCCCCTCTTCTTCATGTCTGTTCTACATCAACATGTGTCCCCTCTTCTACATCAACATGTGTCCCCTCTTCTTCATCAACATGCGTCCCCTCTTCTTCATGTCTGTTCTACATCAACATGTGTCCCCTCTTCTTCATGTCTCTTCTACATCAACATGTGTCCCCTCTTCTTCATGTCTCTTCTACATCAACATGTGTCCCCTCTTCTTCATGTCTCCTCTACATCAACATGTGTCCCCTCTTCTTCATCAACATGTGTCCCCTCTTCTACATCAACATGTGTCCCCTCTCCCCTCTTCTACATCAACATGTGTCCCCTCTTCTTCATCAACATGTGTCCCCTCTTCTTCATGTCTCCTCTACATCAACATGTGTCCCCTCTTCTTCATCAACATGTGTCCCCTCTTCTTCATGTCTCTTCTACATCAACATGTGTCCCCTCTTCTTCATGTCTCTTCTACATCAACATGTGTCCCCTCTTCTACATCAACATGTGTCCCCTCTACTTCATGTCTGTTCTACATCAACATGTGTCCCCTCTTCTTCATGTCTCTTCTACATCAACATGTGTCCCCTCTTCTTCATGTCTCTTATACATCAACATGTGTCCCCTCTTCTTCATGTCTGTTCTACATCAACATGTGTCCCCTCTACTTCATGTCTGTTCTACATCAACATGTGACCCCTCTTCTTCATGTCTCTTATACATCAACATGTGTCCCCTCTTCTTCATGTCTCTTCTACATCAACATGTGTCCCCTCTTCTTCATGTCTCTTCTACATCAACATGTGTCCCCTCTTCTTCATGTCTCTTCTACATCAACATGTGTCCCCTCTTCTTCATGTCTCTTCTACATCAACATGTGTCCCCTCTTCTTCATGTCTCTTCTACATCAACATGTGTCCCCTCTGTGTTAAGAGACTCTGGTGTTTCAGCCAATCAGAGACAGGCTCTGGATATATCTGAGACCTGTCATATTCACATTTAAATGGAAGTGTGTTTGATTTGTGTGCAATAAGACACCACAAGAATAAACTCCGTTGGGTTATTGTTTTGTAATTTGGTGCATACTTTTTTAGGACAAAGAATATACAATTAAATAGAAATCTGTAATTTAAGTGACTTGTTACCTTGGTGCAGTAAACAAGTGATCAATAGATTTGTCTGAATACAGTGCTGCAATGTTACCAAGTAGATCTACTCAAGGATTGTACTTGAGGGTTTTCTTTGTATGCGATGTTTTACTCTTACTCCACTAAGATTATGAGACATATTGAATTTTTACATGAGTACATTCACTACAGCATTAACCACTTTCCAATGTAGGTATTTACACAAAAAACCCAACAGTTTACAAAGTACTTCTACTAATTTCGTTCTATTGTCAATTTCTAGTAATTGTCTGTACTAAAATGTGATTAGTAGCATAAAATCAATAAACTTGATTATTATAATGTATTTATTTGCATTGGACAATTTGAATACTTTTACTAAGTTCTATTAGTACTTTACAGTATGGTTTTAGTAAGTAAAGGATACGAATACATCTTCCACCACGGCCTGAATATAAAAAAATACACCCTGTTAAATAATCGCAGGGTCTGTCAAAACCTATTAGTATTATGTTACACTTAAATGACGAATACTAAGCAGTCATGGGGGATTACATTACCCACTTAGCGAGCTACTAATATTAACTCACACTTGCCTCCGTGTGTAAAGGTGCTTAACAGTTGGATTTTCTCAGGTCTTAAGCAGTTACTTTGTTTAATTTACATTCATAAGTCTCTGAGCTTACACTCAACTGTTGTGGGTTTGTGTAAAGAAGCTGGAGAAATACTCAGGTCTTATTCTTGAGTAAAAGTAGAAGTACTCAGATCTTGTACTTGAGTAGAAGTACTCAGATCTTGTTCTTGAGTAAAAGTAGAAGTACTCAGATCTTGTTCTTGAGTAGAAGTACTCAGATCTTGTTCTTGAGTAGAAGTACTCAGATCTTGTACTTGAGTAGAAGTACTCAGATCTTGTTCTTGAGTAAAAGTAGAAGTACTCAGATCTTGTTCTTGAGTAGAAGTACTCAGATCTTGTTCTTGAGTAGAAGTACTCAGATCTTGTTCTTGAGTAGAAGTACTCAGATCTTGTTCTTGAGTAGAAGTACTCAGATCTTGTTCTTGAGTAGAAGTACTCAGATCTTGTTCTTGAGTAGAAGTACTCAGATCTTGTTCTTTAGTAAAAGTACTCATATATTGTACTTGAGTAAAAGTAGAAGTACCTGAGTGTAGGAACACTCTGTTACAGTAAAAGTTCTGCTTTCAAAATGTTCCTCAAGTAAAAGTAGAAAAGTATTATCATTAAAATATAGTTAAAGTATCGACAGTAAAAGTAGTCATTGTGCAGTTTGGTCCATTTCAGAATAATATATATGACATGTTTTATAATGATCATTAAAGTGTTCTCAGAGCTGGTAAAGGTGCAGCTAGTTTGAATGACTTTGTATTCATCCAGATCTGTAAAGTAACTAAAGGTATTAAATACATGTAGTGGAGTAAAAGTACATCATTTACCTCTGATTTGTAGTGGTGTAGAAGTACACAGTAGCCAAACATTGAAATACTCAAGTAAAGTACCTCAAACTGTGCTTGAATGCAGTACTTGAGTAAATGTACTAAGTAACTTTACACAACTGTTTTTGTGTCTTAAATGTTGCTGACACTGCGTCCATTTGGTGCAGATAAGAAGCTAAAAACGTCCAATGTGTTTACCTAGCTAGTTAGCATAGCTGGCTAGCGAAAGTTAGCATCCAAACACACAGGTGCTACCTGCTTATTGCTAAGTTGGTCAACAAATGAGCTAATATTGATGTATCAAGGCCTTCTTGAGAGAAGTAAGGATATATGTACTCCTACATTGCAAACACCTGCTGTCACCTGTTAGCAGGGGGTTAGCAATGCTAATAAAAACTCGTTAATATAATATAAAATTACCCAGGTTAGCAGGGAGTCACACAGCTCGGCTTTATCCAGACTCATGGTGCCGAGGGCCGGGAAGAGAGGCGGCGGACGGGGCTTTTTTTAGACTTTTTTCTCCCCCGAAGTTTCCGTTACTCTCTCCTTACTGTTTCCACGTCAGTCCTGTCCGGCCTCCTCCTTCTCCTGCTTCTGCTGCTACTGCTACTGCTGCTGCTCCTGGTGCTTCGCGTTTCTGCTTCTGCTAGTGCCCAAGCGAGCCGCCGTATTAAGAGCGTTTCCACGGAGACGGATGTTAATCGTAGCTGCGGTTACAATGACATTTCCAAATGGTTATTATTTTAAGTACGCTTAATGCCTCTTAAATGTTTTTGTGCCTTATTGAATGTGTTATTTATGTGTTTTTGTCTTATTGTGAATTAATGTAATTGTAATTTGTACTTATGTTGTAACTTTATGATATCCTCACCGAGCTTTTGTTTTGTTCTAAATATGTCTAAAAAAAAAGGTAGCTGCGGTGAAAAGAGTTTTTATTTTGTATTTATTTATTCAAGAGTATATAAGAACATTATATTTTGTATTCACAAAGGTAGACATCAGAGGTAGACAGATAAAGTAATATTAAATTAAAAAAATACAGTTTCATATTTCAAATTAACAGAGTAGCCTACACAAGTACACACTGCGGTCAAGCCAGCCCGCACGTGATATTGCGGTGCGCGAATATCCTATGCATTACGGCTGCATTACGGTAGAGTCCTGGAAACACTGCCTTCAAAATAAAAGCACTTACTCGGTCAATAACATATACACCAAAATAACATACCAAACATATTAAATTAAGAAATACGTACTATATAATGTGATCAATAATTATTTAAAACAAACTACGTATAACTACCACATTATAAATGAGTGAATGTAAAACTTAAGAGGTTTCAAAATAAAAGACCTTTGAAATATCTATTGTATGAGCTATCATCCCTCTGTTTTTAGATGAGAATAAAACAAAAACTGTCCAGTATCAAAGACTCATCTCACTCCAGGGTGATAGCAGGACATCCCATCTAGTCACTTAGAAAAAATCAGGACATTCTGATGTACAGTTTCAAAATAAAAGACCTTTGAATTCTCCTATTTGAGCTATCATCCCTCTGTTTTTAGATAAGAATAAAACAAAAACTCTCCTGTATCAAAGACTCATTTCACCCCCCATCTAGTCACTCAGAAAAAATCAGGACAATCTGATGTAGAGTTTCAAAATAAAAGACCTTTGAAATCTCTATTGTATGAGCTATCATCCCTGTTTTTAGATGAGAATAAAACAAAAACTGTCCAGTATCAAAGACTCATCTCACTCCAGGGTGATAGCAGGACACCCCATCTAGTCACTCAGAAAAAATCAGGACATTCTGATGTAGAGTTTCAAAATAAAATACCTTTGAAGTCTCATATATGAGCTATCATCCCTCTGTTTTTAGATAAGAATAAAACAAAAACTCTCCTGTATCAAAGACTCATTTCACCCCCCATCTAGTCACTCAGAAAAAATCAGGACAATCTGATGTAGAGTTTCAAAATAAAAGACCTTTGAAATCTCTATTGTATGAGCTATCATCCCTGTTTTTAGATGAGAATAAAACAAAAACTGTCCAGTATCAAAGACTCATCTCACTCCAGGGTGATAGCAGGACACCCCATCTAGTCACTCAGAAAAAATCAGGACATTCTGATGTAGAGTTTCAAAATAAAATACCTTTGAAGTCTCATATATGAGCTATCATCCCTCTGTGTTTAGATGAGAATAAAACAAAAACTGTTTTTGAAAAGGTCTTTTATTTTGAAACTCTACATCAGAATATTCTTATTTCTGCGTTCTTCCTAAAGTCCACAACCATCTCCACTGTCTTGAGAGTGTTGAGCTCCAGGTGGTTGTCCCTGCACCAGGTCACCAGATGGTCCATCTCCCACCTGTAGGCAGACTCGTCCCCACCAGAGATGAGTCCGATGAGCGTGGTGTCGTCTGAACTTCAGGAGCTTGACAGACTGGTGACTGGAGGTGAAGCTATTGGTGTACAGGGAGAAGAGCAGAGGGGAAAGAACGCAGCCTTGAGGGGAACCGGTGCGGATGGTCCGGGGTCAGAGACGTGTTTGCCTCACGTGCTGCTTCCTGTCAGACAGGACAGAAACACATTTACCAAAATATACAAAATAAATGTGTACTTTTATTGTTTTCTTTTCACTAGCCTGGAGACTAGATTTAAAATTGACCTGTGCATGAAAACATTGATCTTTGCCTGCATGTTGTGTCTCGTCTCACGCCTGTCCTATCTCTGTATCTTTTTGCTATGTTTAAAGTTCCTTAAAGCACCACTGGATGGCTCTAGTCGACAAATAGCTACAGAAAAAAACAGCTTCTTGCACAACTGGAAGCCCCACAGCTCATGACAGGTGTTTTATCCTAAAAAATACACTACAAGTAGCAAAAGTAGAAGTACTTATTATGTGTAATGTCCCGTTTCATTGGTGAATTATGTATATCAAATGACTGGATTATGATTATTGATGCATTAATGAGTTCATCACAGCTGGTAAAGTTGGACCTCATTTGAATTACTTAATATACTGCTGCTGAATACCATGACCTATATAATTAACTAGTCAATGTTTAATGATTAGTTGATTTATTTATTGCATAAGCTAATTAAATGAAGTGAAGTGGAGTAAAAAGTACAATATTAGCTTCCAAAATGAAGTGGAGTCGAAGTAAAAAGTACTATAAAATAAAAATACCACCTTAAAATTGTCCTTCAGTATATGATACATAAGTAAATACACTCTATACATTTCACCACTGCTACTGGACTTCCCTTTTCATTATAAAAAGGCCTCCAGAGTGAGGAAACACTGACCAGGTCACACTGGTTTGTGATTTTATAGAGAAAACTTTAGCAGGTGTTTGTCAGAAGCCTCGCTCTCTTATTATCAACATGCGGACACACACGTACTCCCTTTTCTTCTCCACACCTCTCCTTCCTGCATTCCTTATTACAAATCAAACTACCAATGACCAATCACAGCCAAACACCGCTGCCCACTGCTTCCTGTTTACTTTGGCAATCCCATAGTACACCACCTGCACAAATAAAATATCTGCTGCACATCCGGCTTTTTTAAACCTTGAACCAGTTTGGTCACATCTGGCTTTACCATATTTATCTGGACTTCCTGTTTGTCAGGATGGTTTTCTAGACAGAGGAATGCTAATCCATTCCTTTCCTCTCATACCTCAATAACAGCAACTCTCAGATGATTAGATCATCTTAATGTAGGATTATTTAAGATTATTTAAGGTACTTCTACTTCACTTGAGTAAGCTACTTTATACTTTTACTTCACTACTTTTTTTAATTTTTCTCATACTGCCTGTTGTAGTAAAAAAAGAAGAAGCTAAAAGGCAGATTTTTGAGTAGTTCAAGATTATTAGAGGTTGTTGTTCGTGTCTGGAATGGACATAAATTGAAATTCAAAGCAGGACCAAACATGTTATTTTTAAAGAGGTCCTATTAATCTAATGTTCCTGGTTCATCAGTATGTAGTGTCTCTACTTTAAAGAGTCTTCTCCTGCTGATGTTCAGGTGTATATCAGTATGTAGTGTCTCTACTTTAAAGAGTCTTCTCCTGCTGATGTTCAGGTGTATATCAGTATGTAGTGTCTCTACTTGAAAGAGTCCTCTCCTGCTGATGTTCAGGTGTATATCAGTATGTAGTGTCTCTACTTTAAAGAGTCCTCTCCTGCTGATGTTCAGGTGTATATCAGTATGTAGTGTCTCTACTTTAAAGAGTCCTCTCCTGCTGATGTTCAGGTGTATATCAGTATGTAGTGTCTCTACTTTAAAGAGTCCTCTCCTGCTGATGTTCAGGTGTATATCAGTATGTAGTGTCTCTACTTTAAAGAGTCCTCTCCTGCTGATGTTCAGGTGTATATCAGTATGTAGTGTCTCTACTTTAAAGAGTCCTCTCCTGCTGATGTTCAGGTGTATATCAGTATGTAGTGTCTCTACTTTAAAGAGTCCTCTCCTGCTGATGTGCAGATGTATATCAGTATGTAGTGTCTCTACTTTAAAGTGTTCTCTCCTGCTGATGTTCAGGTGTATATCAGTATGTAGTGTCTCTACTTTAAAGAGTCCTCTCCTGCTGATGTTCAGGTATATATCAGTATTTAGTGTCTCTACTTTAAAGAGTCCTCTCCTGCTGATGTTCAGGTGTATATCAGTATGTAGTGTCTCTACTTTAAAGAGTCCTCTCCTGCTGATGTTCAGGTGTATATCAGTATGTAGTGTCTCTACTTTAAAGAGTCCTCTCCTGCTGATGTGCAGATGTATATCAGTATGTAGTGTCTCTACTTTAAAGTGTTCTCTCCTGCTGATGTTCATGTGTATATCAGTATGTAGTGTCTCTACTTTAAAGAGTCCTCTCCTGCTGATGTTCAGGTGTATATCAGTATGTAGTGTCTCTACTTTAAAGAGTCCTCTCCTGCTGATGTGCAGATGTATATCAGTATGTAGTGTCTCTACTTTAAAGAGTCCTCTCCTGCTGATGTTCAGGTGTATATCAGTGTGTAGCAGACCCGGCGCCAGAACAAATCTAAAGGGAGGGCATATGATTTTCATGGGAGGGCACACAAAACCGTCACGTGCTGCGGGCCTGCGGCACAATATATATCAAACAGCAAGGCCAACAGCATTGCGTAAAGACGCACACTTATCGCAAACATACACAAATAAAGGGCAACATAACAACCACTTTGAAACATTGTGTCAGTGGCAGCACAAACACTGGTAAATCACGAGCAAGGTTGACAGCTAAAAAAGCTATAATATAAACGACAGCTGACACGTAATAACGGCTCCGTGCCAGCTGATCTGCACCAAAGTACTAATTTCCTTATTTGTTTCCTCGCGTATCTGTCTCTCTCTCTCTGCACAAACTCTCACATGAAATGTGTTCTTTTGATGCGGCATGCCTTAGCAGTCCTTTATCAGTCTGTAATGCGTGTTTCC